CAGCCTCTCAGTCTAAGACCACCCTGAGCCACATCTGTGGTCCTGGGGCACCTCTTCCTTAAGGGAACAGGAAAAGGAGGCCAGGCAGGTCGGGGCTCGGCGACCAGGCTCAGCAACCAGAGGAAGAAAGGGCAGGGAAAGACGCGGGCTACTCGCTGTGCTAGAGAATTTCCAATGAGGATTCTGGGCAGTTGGTCTGCTTTCAAAATTGAGGGGTTAGGAGGTACTTAGTACTGGGCTGTGTGCAATTACCTCCATCCATTCCAGGAGGCTTGAGAAAAGACAGAATTGCAAGGACTGACCTCCCCTTCCTCGCCCCACAGACCCTCACAGGACCCCCACCTCAGCAACACGGGAAAGCGGTTTGTTCATTCTGAAGCAACAGGGACAGACTGAGGGGGCTTTAGAGGAACACCCGCACCCCTCAGGCTCCCCAGGCTGGAAGGCTTTGCAATTACCTGTGATCCCTGAGGAACTCCCAATTGTTGGGGGTCCCGGTTCAGAGCCAGAACTGCATGTCTTCCACTGCCTCTGATTGGCAGATCTGCATGGAAACCCCTCAGAAGGCACTCAGATGTGGATTCTGTCCCAGAAGTTGAAGTTGTTCACAGGTTTTTCACTATTGGTGGGTATAGTGAAGTGGGCAAAACAAGGTGCTGTGGGAGGGGAACCCTTCCCTGATGTATTCAGGTATAAACCCACACTTTTCTGGTCCGCCGATGTGGAACCACTTGGAGGCTTGACTTGGCAGGAGAAGAATAAATGTGATTCAGGAAATAAAAAAAAAAAAACACTTGTCAGGAAGACTTTTTTTTTTTCTGGTTTGGGGGGCCACACCTGGCAGTGATCAGACTTACTACTGGCTCTGTACTCAAAGGTCACTCCTAGCAGTGCTCAGAGATAAGGATCAAACTTGGGTTGGCCTTGGGGCTGGAGAGATAGAACAGTGTGTAAGGCACATGGCTTACCCAGGTTCGATCCCAATATAACATATGGTCACTCCTGAGCACCACCAGGAATAACTTCTGAATACAAAGCCAGGAGTAACTCTTGAACAATTCCAGGTTTGTCCTCAAAACAAATAAACAAAAAAATAAAGCAAAAAACTTGGGTAAGCCACCTGTAAGGCAAGTACTTTACTTGCGGTACTATTGCTCTGGCCTTTTGGAAGACATTTTGGCATGATAAATCCAGAACCTGGAAAATATTTATTCCATTTCTTTTTTTTATTTGTTTTTTTGTCTTTTTGGATCACACCTGGCAATGCTTGGGGGTTTCTCCTAGTGGTGCTCACAATATGGGATGCTGGGGATCGAACCTGGGTCAGCCATGTGCAAGGCAAATGCCCTACCTGCTGTACTATCACTCCGGCCCTCTAGTAGCACTGTAGCACTGTCCTCCCGTTGTTCATCGATTTGCTCAAGCGGGCACCAGTAACCTCTCACAACAAATTGTGAGACTTGTTACTGTTTTTGGCATATCTACTCCGTCACGGGTAGCTTGCCAGGCTTTGCAGTGCGGGCGAGATACTCTTGGTAGCTTGCCGGGCTCTCTGAGAGGGGCGGAGGAATCGAACCCGGGTCAGCCGCATGCAAGCAAATGCCCTACCCGCTGTACTATCACTCCGGCCCTCTAATACTTTCTTAAATGCTACAAATAGAGACTCAGGCAAAGATTTAGGTACTAAAATGTCAATTAAAGCACCATCTAAGGGCCCTGAGCACAAACCTCACCTCCCCACCATATACACACTAAAAGGTCTTTTGAGCTGAAGAGTTGGTGCAGGCATTGGATAAGGCACTTGCATACAGCTGTCCTGGATTTCATCCACAGCATCTCATATGGTCTCCCAAGTAATCCCAGGAGTGACCCTTGAGATCATCTCTAGATTGATCTCCCCTCCAAAAAGAGGGGAAAACTTAACCCATTATGTTATTTTGGTTTGTTATTTGGGCCACACCTGCCTGTGTTCAGGGCTTATTCCTGGCTCAGTACTCAGGGATCACTCCTGGCAGACTCAGGGGACCATGTGAGATTCCAGGGATTGAGCCCAGGTTGGCCACGTGCAAGGCAAGCGCTCTACCCACTATACTCTTGCTCTGGATCCCCAGTTAGCATTAACTGGAAAAAAATTAATGTTTGTATTAGCTATTTTAAAATTATTTTAATAACTAAAAAATTGGATTATTTTGAAGCAGTTTGTGTTAACTGAAACAGGCAGGTAGCAGTTATATTAGTGCTATGGCTGTCTCATGTATGTACAGGAAAAGAGGGCAAAAAAGGGCTGGGGCTGGGGCTGAGGGCAGAACCCTTGCCTTGCATGCATGAGACCTGGGTTCAATCCCTGACTGGACCCTCCAAAACCCCCATTAAGATCTTGAAAAAAGTGAAATAGTAAAAAATATTTATGCATTTGAACAGAAATATTTTTAGTTTTTATTTACACAGTGGTGTTTGGGATTGCTCCCAGAAGTGCTCAAGGATCATGTGATCCTGGGGATCAAATCTAGGGTTCCTGCATGCAAAAAAGCATGCACTCAGCCCACTGAATTATCTCTCCATTCCCAGAGGGGGAAAACTTTAAACTGCTGCATGCCATACCTATTGGGTGATGCTCTCCCCCAAAGCTGGACAAGCTTTGCCTGGAACCCAGGCATCTCTGTATCCAGCTGATTCTGTTCTCAGGAGGTAGACAAGCTACTTATTGCAGAAACCCCTTGCCTCACATGAAGGCCCAAAAAACAAAGTTTTCGATCATTCCCATCTTTCCACTCCAGACTGCAGAGACTAAATGCCAAGGATGCTCAGATAAGACCATAAAGTTTTAAACAGCGCCTTCCTTGCAACTGGTTTGCTTTTGTGAACGCTGGGGCGTCAGTGAGGGGTAAGCATTAAAAGCCATGACCGCAGCTCTGGGTACTATTTTTAAAAACACAGCACCCACCCTCATGCCCTTAGTGATGAGGAATTTGTACAGCAGTCGGGCGTCAGGATTCTTGGGCTCCAGGCCCCACAGGTGACTCACAGCCAGCCCCAGGCTGTACCTCCTGGCCTCAGTTTCCCTGGCTGGTTCTATTGCTACTCCCCACCTACTATGCAAAGTGTTAATAGGGGTGAGATGCTTTGAACTCATAGATGAAAGAGACTGAGGAACGAGCACCCAGTTATTATCCCCTCTGTGACCAGGCGTGGGAGCGGAGGTCGGCTGCTTTCATATACTGCACCAGCCATAGGAGCCTCCTCAGAGCCCTCGATTCTTCAGCCTTCTCTTCTAGCTGCCCAAATTGGAAGGCAAAGCAGTTAATCCCATCTCTAGCATTATGTTTTTGGTTTGGGGAGACACTCAGCAGTACTCAGGGGCCATTGATGATGCTGGGGAGGAAACACAGGGCTCCAGCATACAAAACTTGTTTCAGTTCTTTGAACTAACTCCCTGGCTTCTTAATGCTTTATATTTTTGTTTTTGGGTCACACCAGGTAATGCTCAGGGGTTACTCCTGGCTCTGTATTCAGGAATTACTACTGGTGGTGCTCTGGGAACCATATGGAATGCAAGGATTGAAACTGGGTCAGCAATGTACAAGGCAAATGCCCTACCCTCTGTACTATTACTCTGGCCCTTTAAAAAATACTTTTTTGGGAACCTGAGAGACCACAGCTGGCAAGAGATTTGCCTTGCATGCAACCAACCTGGGTTGAGTCCCTGGCATCCCATATGGCCCCCAGAGCCCCACCAGAAGTGATTCCTGAGTGCAGAGCCAGGAGTAAACCCAAAAACCGAACAAAAATTAAAACACTCCCCAAAAAAGAAACTTTTTTGAGGTACTAGGGATAGAACCCAGATCTTGTGCATGCAAGACAATCCTCTTATCTCTAAGCCATCTCCTTGACCCTCAATGCCTTCACAATAGGTTTTTCTATTTTTCTTGTTTTGTTTTGTTTTGGGGTACCACCCAGAGGCTTGAGTCTTACTCCTGGCTCTGCACTTAGGGATCACTCATGGAGGGCTTGGGGACTATCTGGGGTGCCAGAGATTGAAACGGGGTTGGCCACGTGCAAGGCAAATGCCCTACCCACTATACTATTTCTTCAGTCCAGGGAACCCTTCAACTGCCCAAGCCACTAGTAAACCATGTCACCCTCAATTTATAATTTTGAAATACTCTACAGCTGTCTGACTGGATACAACTCCTATGGGAGTGATGATATTTCATGATTCTCATAAAAAGTCAGCAAAGCGGACTATGAAAGAAGCAAAGTTCGAATTTATGTGTTTCTTCTCTGTAAACTTCGTAACATTACTCATCTCTGAATTGCTGTGGGAATCTGAATGCAGAAAAAATCATTAAAGAACAAACCCTTCACGTGTACTAAAAGGATTGAGCATCCACAAATCAGACTCCTGGCACAACCATCACATGTACCCTACTGATTGCAACTGCGGAGGGAAAATAAGCCTGGGATGCCATCTATTGGTTGAAATATAAACTGCAGTTATAAGAGCAAAGCTGGAAACTCCAGTACTTCCCATCGTCAAGACACTTTCAAGAAACAAAATTTTTTTGTTTTTTAAGCCACACCTGGCAATTCTCAGGGGCCACTCCCTGCTCAGTGCTTGCGGTTGCTCTCAGCAATGCTTGAGAGACCATGGGTGCCAGGGAGCAAACATTGGCCTCCTGCATATAAAGCAGGTGCTCCAACCCTTTGAGCTATCTCCCTAGCCCCTAAACCATTTTTAATTTCTTTGTCTGGGGGCCATACTCAGCGATGCTCATGGTGTCATGGTGATGCTTGGGGGACAGTCTAGGACACCAGGGATTGAACCTGGGTCAACCATGTGCAAGGCAAGCACCCTACACACTGTGCTATCACTCTGGCCCCAAGCACCTTTAATTTTTGCCATACTATCATATAAAGTAACCATCACGTCACATTATATACTCAATCTTTTTCTTCAAATCACTCTATTACACTTCATATGAATCATTTTCACATTCAAATTTTAATTGCTATAAATGAAAAACTAGGTTAATACTTGCCCAAAACAATTAAAACCAAGAAATTAACACAGTGAAAATGCCAAGTTCTTAAGATGTTACAAGGAGGAAAGGTTGCCTGTGATAGCAGCACCCAGTAAGGCCTGTACTTGGGGGAGCATCATGAGTGGAGAGAGAGCTCCTCCCAGGGAAGGTGGGGGTCCCTTGTCTGTCATCAACCTGCTCTCCTCTCTTCCATGAAGTTTGGAAGTGTAGTCACTGCGGCAATCCTGGCAGCAGCCCCCAGAGCTCGAAGCACCGAGGGTGATAAAGATCTGGCGGTCGCTCTGCTGGGCCCGGGGTCTTTTGGTTAGCAGTCTTTTGCTGGGCTGAACATCCTCATAGTCCTCCAGCTCTGGCTGTGGCCTGCGTCCTTGGCTCTGCCTCCCTCAGACCCGAGCGCTGGCTTCTTGCCATGACAGCTCTCCAGAGCTCAGCTTGCTGCTATAGCTGCATGGCTTCCTGCTCCACAGATTGATCTGAGGAGGCCAGGTACTTCTCCTGGAGGCCCAGGGTGCTAAGGAAGGGTATGTTAAGGCGATAACCTAAGAAAGAGCAACAAGTTTGGGCAGGATCTGAATACTACCCATGCCTGTTGCTGTCACACCTGGCAGACCCCTTACCCACCTCTGATAACTTCAAGCCCCAGGAACAATGGATACGCCAATCCAAATGCTCTGGTATCTGACTGTTCCCCACGCTGCCAAGGATCATAGGTGCAGAGGCAGCTAATTCACAGCTGTGTGATGCGAATGCTCTGGGGCTCTGACTGGAGGTGGGGAGAAGGGAGAATTTTGCTTAGAGAACTCTGTTTTGCAGGGAGGGGTGTGGAGGTTCAATGCCTGGCCTCAGGACTGCTGGACATAGTTCCCCATTCACTGAGTTGGGAGTAGCCTATGAGAAGTACTAGGTGTGGCCTTCACCTCCCCGCTGTTGGGGCCAGGATGATAGTGATGCGGGTAGGGCATCTACCTTGTATGCAGCCGACCTGGGTTTGATCCCCAGCATCCAATATGGTCCTGAGTCCCACCAGGAATAATTCCTGAGTGCAGAGGCAGGAATAACACTTGAGCATCACCAGATGTGGCCTCAAAACAACAACAACAAAAAATAAAAATTAAGAGTTGTGAGGGTCAAATGAGATAACAAGAACAAAGTGTCTAAGATGGCACCAGGCACCTTGCAGGTGCACAAGTATTTGTGACCTTTGTTTTAGGTTTTTGGGTCATACCTGGTGATGTTCAGGGGTTACTCCTGGCTCCATGCTCAAGAATCACTCAGGGGAGCATATGGGTTGCCGGTGATCAAACCAGGGTCAGCTGTAAGGCAACCCCCCTGCTTGCTGTACTATCACTCCGGCTCCCGGTGACTTTTCTTTAATGCCAGGGAGGGAGCTCACGGTTGCTCAAAGGAAACAGTGAATTTCTGCTTGGGCCACAGGGTTTCTTCAGCCTCTCTGGAGAGCAGGCAGATCAAAGGCAAACACAAATCAGATTCACAAAAAAAAAAAAAAAAGATTTACAATGCTACGGACAACGGAGACTGAAGCTGCCTTGTGAGAGTCTGGGTTGACAATGACTCCAATGCCAGAAAATCAGACACAAAAACTGAGGGATGAGCCATCCATGTTCCATCCTGTGAGCGGACACTCTCCGAGACCCCAGAGCCTTCTCCATAAAAGGGGGCTGGGGAACAGGGAGAGTGCTCACAGGGCTGGAGCACAAGCCTTATATGCAGAAGACTCTGAGTTCAATCCCCTGCATTGCATGCCCCTCCAGTGTGGCTTGGTGGTCCAGCAAACATTTCCAGGGAGGCCAAAAGATAATTTGAAAAAGGGACTGAGAGGCTGGAGTAATAGCACAGCGGGCAGGCCGTTTGCCTTGTATGTGGACGACCCGGGTTCAATTCCCAGCATCCCATATGGTCCTCTGAGCACCGCCAGGGGTAATTCCTGAGCCAGGAGTAACCCCCGTGCATCACCGGGTATGACCCAAAAAGCAAATAAAATAAAATGCATCCCATATGGTCCCCTGAGCACCGCCAGGAGTAATTCCTGAGTGCAGAGACATGCAGAGGCAGGAGTAATCCCTGAGCATCGCTGGATGTGACCCCAGAAGCCAAAAAAAGAGGGACTCAACAAGGACCAAGTGACATCCTTTGAGTGGAGCAGGTAGCCGACCTCAGATGGTCAGTCAGACTTAGGGATCCACTCGCCCAGCCCATCTTGCCCTTATTCTGATCACTCATTGCCTGTGCCCAGCTTCATACTGCCCAGATTCAACGCCCTGTTTCTGTGCAAGAGCCCTGCAGGTCACTCAGAATCAATGGAACAAGGTGCCCAGTATCCCGCCCTCTTTAAACCACCCTGCCCACAGCACCTGACACAGCTCCTGGGCCTCGTTCCAGTTCTGTTTGGCTGTGACTGTTATAAAGTTGAGTGCTTTCTCTCCCACGTGTGAAAGGGCTGGATAAAAGTTACTAGCGCTGGCCACCGCCTGTCCTTTGCCCCCAAGCCCCCCTGGAGCCCACCTGTCTCAGTCCTGTCTAGATGCTGAGTCCCTGAAACTATCAGCCCGCAAGGCCTGCACCTCCCTAGCCTGCCTCCCATTAGGCCTCTGGGACCAAGGGACACCCCTACAGGCCTGTGCTCCACCCCAAAGGCTAACTAAACCAGCTCTATTTCCAGCTGCCTCCCAGATAGCCCTGGTCCCTCTCAAAGGCCATACATCTGCCAGCTCACATCCCTCCCATCCAGGTGACAAGCCTGTTCTTTCCTCTTTCCTTTTTCCCCCGGAGCAGGGAATATACCCAGCAATACTCAGGAATTACATGTGGTCCTTAGGATTGAACCCTTGGCCACATGCAAGGCAATCGCCCAATCCATTAAACTATTGCTCTGGCCCCACCTCTTCCCTTTCTTGCCTTTGTGACAACACAACCATTTGGACTGCTAAGTCAGACCCCTGGGGCATCTGCTCCACCTCCACCTATCCCATAACCATCTAGACACCAATTGTGAGTCTAGCCCCTTTAGAATTTCCCCAACCTGCACCCTTTTTCCTGTTCTCACAACTTAAGTTTCATCTCTCCTCACCTAGGTTGCAGAAACTCTTCTGCTGCAAACATAGTCCTTAAATGCATTTTCCACCTTGGAGGGGCCTCTTAAAAAGGTACACTCCGTAGTATTCTGTCCCGCTGTCTCCCACAGCTCCTTAGCAAGGCACTTCAGACTTCCACTGCACTACTAATCTCCTGTACCAAACTGAACCCCTACAGCTTGCCCAGTGATCAGTGTTCTTCCATGTCTTTTTTTTTTTGGGGGGTGGGGGCGTGCTCCTCCTAAACAGCATTCAGGTAACACTCCTGGTGACAGCTGGCCAACCTGTGTGAGTGAACCTGATGCTTCAGTGCTGGGGTCCAGCAGTGGAGATCGTCAGAGCCAAACCAGTGATGCAGGGGAGATGCTGATGGGGGCATGCTGTGCGGGGGTTCAAATTCAGGGCCTTGAGGATGCCTGTGGGCTGGAGCGATAGCACAGTGTGTAGGGCAATTGCCTTGCACGCGGCCGACAGGGCTGACCAGAGTTCAATTCCTCCGCCGCTCTTGGAGAGCCTGGCAAGCTACCTGTGACGTAGTCAATATGCCAAACACAGTAACCACAAGTCTCACAATGGAAACGTTACTGGGCCCACTCGAGCAAATCAATGAACAATGGGAGGACAGTGACAGTGACAGTGAGCATGCCTGCATGTGTTCCAGCTCTGGAGCTGTCTCCCCAGTATCTGCCTTTTCATTTTTGAAGGGAGGTATTTACTGCTCCTTCCAATAAAAATCCTTGCCTGTCCGCAGGTACCACCGATCCTGAAGCCTTCTCCAGGATCAGCTTTGCACATGAAATCAGCCAGGCCAGACAAGACCATTGCCGGGGCTCCCTGTGAGTAAGGATACGAGGGGAAGTGGAAGTCGGCTCCCATGGCAGCTGACATCATGGCCTCTAGGCTTCGCTGCTCTTGAACCCCGAAGCAGTAGCCATTGGCTTTATCCACAGCCTGCAGGACGCGCTGAATACTGTCCTTATCCTGAAAGGGGAGGAGAAAAACAGCTGTGAGTGATACAGTGTGGTGGAATCAAGGTAGGACTGTACCTTACTACTGTGATCTCCAAACGCCCCCTCGATCTCACCTCACACGGTATGCTCAGCCCAGAGAGCAGTGTGTGTCCTCAGAGGTCTGGCTGCCTCCCTCTTTCCTGACCTTAAATTCGGACAGAAACTCTCCCTTGTGCACACCCCAGCTTCCTCCTCCACAGCTCTCACCCTATCACAGTATTGATGCCTGGGAATACCTTGACTCCCCTACTTGACTGTGTCCCTGAGGTCAGAAATGTGTTTGTCACAGATCTCCCTGGCACAGTACCTAGCTAACTACAGGCACTCAAAATCATACCCGGAAGGAACCCCTTCTCTGCTAATGAACAGGGTTAGCAGCAGCACATACATCACAGCACGAGAAAGAGCAGATCAAGACAAAGTGGGGGCAGATGAGCCGAGTGGTCTTAGTAAGTGGGAGTTTCACCTCATTTCACTTTATTCTTTTGTTTCTTTGTTTGGAGCTTCACCCAGTGTTCTGCGTCACTCTCAGAGCGGAGTCATCTCTCCTTCCCCTCATTTAAGGGTTTTGGGCCACACCCAGTTCTCAGGGGTTAATCCTTGCTCTGCACTCAGGAAAAGCTTCTGGGGGGCACATGGGGCCATTAAGGGATGCCAGAGATGAAACCCAAGCTGGCCATGTGCAAGGCAAACACCCCATCCACTGTACAATCGTTTTGGCCTCTAAAAAGCTATATATATATTGGTGGAGAGTGGATCACAAATCGGCAATGATCAGGGCTTACTCCTGGCTCTGCACTCAGGGGTCACTCTTGGCACGATCAGGAGACCATATAGGGTGCCAGGGACTGAATATGGGTTGGCCATATGCAAGGCAAACGCTCTATCCACTGTACTATTGCTCTGGCCCTTCCCTTCCCTTCATTTTATTTTATTTATTTATTTATTTATTTTAGTGGTTTATTTATTTACTTATTTATTTTTGGGTCACACCCAGCAATGCTCAGGGGTTACTCCTGGCTCTGCACTCAGGAATTACTCCTGGCAGTGTCGGGGGACCATATGGGATGCCAGGAATTGAAGCCAGGTCAGCCGTGTGCAAGGCAAATGCCCTACCCACTGTGCTGTTGCTCCGGCCCCTCCCTTCATTTTAGAGTAAAAATGTGTGACACTAAAAAAGAAAAAGCTAAGTGCACTCGAGTCTATTCACAGTACAATCCTTTCTCTAACATATGTCTATGTCTTTGCAGGGACAGAGAGGGGTGCCGGGGAGGGACGACCATAGCTCTGCACTGTCAGCACAGCACCACAGTGAAGGAATGAGTCTTTCCCAGCCTCCCTCTCCACACCGGGAAGAGTATCTGTGCTGAGAGGCTCCTGTGGCACAGAACAGAGAAGTCTGGCCCATCTTTGTAACGAATCCTGCCCAGTACCACCCCTACTCCTGAAATCCAGGGGACCAAATGACACCAATGGACCCAGAACAAAGACTACTGTTTGAACCCACATGCACTTAAGTTGCAAATCTCTTATAATCATTGGCTTGGGAAGGTTACAAGGAGATGAGACCTCTGACTTGCCAGTACCTGAATGTTGAGAGGGATGAAGGAGACCAGGCTGTAGTCTTCAATGAGCTGCACCAGCTTCTCATTCAGCTGCCGGTAATGCCGGAAGAAAGGGTCAGAAGCCAGGTGGTCAAGCAGGTAGGATAGGTCAAGGACCTCTGTGTAGTAGTCCAGGTTGAAGGCTAAGGAGAGGAGTGACATTCAGAAAAAGCTGGATCACGTTAAAGATGTGAGGACATGGGGGCTGGAGCGACAGTACAGCGGGTAAGGTGTTGGCTTTGCACACGGTTGACCCAGGTTCAATCCACCAGGTTAGGGTAAGGGTTAGGGTTGGGGAGTTAGGGTTAGGGTGAGGGTTAGGGGTGGCCTAAAAACAAACAAAAAGATGTGAGGATAGAGCTGGGGAGATAGTATAGTGGGGAAGGCATCTGCCCTGCAAACAGCAGACACAGATAATCCAGTTAGATCTGGCATGGCATATGTTGTATCTCCATAGTCTCCGCCCCCTTCCCCCCTCAGTCCTCAGTCTCACTCTGGAGTAATCCCTGAGCACAGAACCAGGAGTAAGCCTTGAACACAGATGGGTGGGGCCCCAAAACAAACCAACAAACACAAACAAAACAGAGAGCATGTCTTCTTCCTTCCCTTGCCTTTCTGGATGCCTTCATTCACACAGTATTTGCTGAGATAAACTCTAACAAAGACTACTTGGTTTCACCTCTGGCCCTCCCACCTGGAGGGGCTATGCGAGGGCTAAGTGGTCTAAACCACCGAGAAGAGACTGATCATAGTAACAATGACACTGAATAGACAGTCTCAGCCCCCAGTCCCAATGCCTGCACACACAACATGGAGACTGTGTCTACGCTGCAAACGGCATGACTGCTGCACTCGGCCAGGGTGACCGCCTGGGTAAATCACTTTCTTTCTGGGTTAGGGATCTTATGTACAAGGAAAGTCCAGACCGGCTGACTCAAGGACCCTGAGTCAGTTCTACGAACACAAACTTGCCACAGGGACAGGAAGGTGGGATGCTCAGCGCGGTCCACTTCTGTCCAATAAACAAGTACTTGGGCTACTCAGCAGGTCTGTCCCAAAAGGAGCCCGGGACTCAGGCTGTCAGAGAAGCACAGACGCTTCCCGCCTCAGCCCCTTAATTCCTACTTCTACTTAGAAACTGACACCTGAGTCTGCCTACATGAAAATGTCCTGGTCTTGAATTATCTGACAGATGCGTCTCCCTGACTTAGGAACCTTAATACTGAGGCCAGGGTGACAGAGCAAGATTCGTTCACGTTTGATTCTTGGTTTGATCCCCAGCAATACATGGCTCCCAAGCATTGCCGGGTAAAGCCCAGAGAACCCCGAGCATCGTTTGTGTGACAAGGGTGGTCCCTGGCACTGCAGGGCTGCAGCCTTGACCCTTGACCACCCGAGGGTGACCATCACTGGGAGTGGCCTCCTGAATACCACTTGGGTGCGCCTGTCCCCCTCAAAATAAGGTAAAGGTAAAGGTAAAGGCCCTCCCGTTGATCGTCGATTTGCTCGAGCGGGCCCAGTAACGTCTCCATTGGAGACTTTGTTGTTACTGTGTCTGGCATATCGAATACTCTCGGTAGCTTGCCGGGCTCTCCGAGAGGGGCGGAGGAATCGAACTCGGGTCGGCCATGTTGGCTGCTTGTAAGGCAAATGCCCTACAGCTGTGCTATCGCTCCAGCCCTCCTCAGGGTTTGGATTCCTTTTTTTCTCTTTGCATTATTGGGGGGGGTGGGGAAGGGGGGACTCTGCACTCAGGAATCACTCCTGGTGGTTCTCAGAGTACCGTACAGGACGCTGGGGATCAAACCTGGGTCGGCTGCATGTAAGGCAAGAGCCCTACCCCCTGTGCTACTGCTCTGGCCCCTGGGTTTAGATTTCATCTCCAATAACATACTAGCTGTGTGACTGGACCAGGGATACAGGGTATTCATATAAGATCTCTGGGCTTCAAATGCCATTTGGGACCTGCAAGTAAGATATGAGGGTGACTGCAAAGGCCAAGGATATCACACAGACATCTGGGATGGGGGCTTTTTTGGAAAGCCAGGTATGAGCTGGCAGTGACAGGGCAAATGCAACCTCATAGGAGAGGGGGCGTTCCTGGCTCGTCCTTCACACCCTACTGAGGTCACGAGTTGCCCCCCATGAGCGGCTCTCTGGCACGGCCATGGCTCCAGAGCCACAAAAACCAATCTCATAATTATCTGGCTCTCGGCAGAAATCCCTCCAGGCTTAATAAGTAAAATGTCAGAAATCTAAAATCCAGTATTATATGGTTCTCATAACCAGTTGTAGGAAATAAATTATTTCACAATGCCTTTTCAACAGTTCTGATTGTTGGATGTAAACTCTAAACAATAATGGTGCATCTTTTGTCAAAATAATGAATGTAATCAAAGTAGATAGAGAATTAAGTAGAATTCATCTGCCTCACAGGCATTGGGAGGGTTGGGGGGGGGGTATATTGGGGTTCTTGGTGGTGAAAAATAAGTACTGGTAAAGGGAAAGGTGTTTGATTATTACATGATCGAGACTTAAACCTGAAAGCTTTGTAACTTTTCCCACAGTGATTCAATAAATAGAGAGAGAGAGAGAGAGAGAGAGAGAGAGAGAGAGAGAGAGAAATACAAGGAGCACCTCATGGTGCTTCACTAATAAAAATTAAAAAAAAAAAAGAAATACAAGCTCTCCCAACACCCCCAAACCCAGTATCTTGTAGAGAGTGGTACCAAATAAATGGACAGGGGCCTGTGTCTAGTATCACCAGGCCATGCTCGGGCCCCGAGCAGCCTCTCCAATTCATTCTGCATCACTGCTGCCCTCCTCTCCTGCCTGGATCAGCTGTTCTTACCCAGCTTCCCATAGTGCTCTATGAGGTCCATCTTGGAGAGAAGGTTGACATGGGGCAGCTCCACATGCAGCATGGTGGCCAAAGAGGTACACAGCACCGAAATGAACTTGGCCGGGTCTGTGCAGTAGTGAGAATCCACCAGGTGGACAGCAGTCAGCTGGGAGGGAGCAAGAGACAGGGTGAGAGTGGCTGGGAGGGGCAGGACCCCTCATAACCTGTCCCCTCCCCAGATTAGTGACTTCTGAATTCAGAGTGCAAACTTCCTGGCAAGTCCCCCTCTGCTTCTGTTCCATTCAAATGGTTGCACTCACTTCCTTATTTAGCAGCTATTAAGCTTTCCTCTTTTTGCTGTATTAAGGGATCACGGCAGGTGATGACTGAGATCAAACACAGGTCTGATACAAACATGACAAGGACCTTAACCGCACTATCTCCAGTCCAAGAAGCATTTCTTGCAAGATGCCTCTTACTAACTGTGCCCAGATGGAAATAGGCAGTTCCCACTGCACTGGCTCCTTTTTGTTTGGGAACCACACTTAGCAGTATTTTGGGTGGGCCTGATGCACTCATGGATTGATACCTGCAGAAGTCAGGGAATCATGCTATAGGAAATTAAAGCAGGCCAACCATGCATTCCAAACCCTTAGGTTATCTACTCTAATTCATTCTTTTATATTTTTTAAATATCGGAAGGACCATATGGGACGCCAAGAATGAATCTAATCCAGATCCCCTGGTGCAAGGCAAGTAAGTACCTTACTCTCTGTAGGATGGCTCCTGGCCCCCACCCCCACCCCATTTCATTCTTCCACTTATTGTTAGCCACGAATTTGCAACAATCACCGTGCCACTTTCCACATAACCCCTCTGATGACCATGTTCCAAATAATCCCAAACTGGGCAATAACACCCTTTTACAGACGAGAAAACTGAGGTTCAGATAAATCTGACTTACCCAGGGCCACACAGCTAGTCAGCGGGAGTCAGAATCCGAACTCACACCTTTTTTTTCTCCAAAGCCACTAGGCCCCTACCTCGCTGTGTGACATGGAGGCGTGGCAAACATCCTCCTCCCTGTCTGTCTCAGTTTCTCCATCTGCAAAAGGGGCCTGCCCGACCCGAGACGCACCCTGAGGTCCCACTGCGCCATCTGGGAGAAAATGCTGCGTAGCGCGCCGTGGTGCGTGCAGAGCTCCACCTGTCCCGGGCAGTCGAAAAGAAAATAGTGGCCTCGGAGGGGGTCGAGCTTGGCGCGCAACCAGTCCAGGTTGGCCTCCAGGTACTCCATGCAGTAGAGCAGGCCGCCGTTGGGCCCCAGTCGGAGCGCGTCCATCACATCGCCTAGTCCCACCAGCTCGCTCACGTCCACGGCGCACTCGTAGGGCAGCCCCTCGTTGGCCGGGTCCAGGTTCACCACCGCCACGCGCCGGCCCAGCGCGCGCAGGAACTCGCTCATGCCGAGGCAGTACGTGGTCTTCCCCGAGCCCGGCGGCCCGATCACCGCCTGCCCGAAGGCCGTGGCCGGGGCGGCCCCCGCCATGGGCGCCACAGGGCGCTCTGCGGAGCAGGTGGGCTCGGCGGGGAGGTCACACGGGCGGCCGCCGGATGCCCGCCGCTGCGCCGGACACCCCCCCGGAGCGGCACAGCAGGAACGTACCGGTAGCTGGACACTGATGTGACCAGCACCGGTATCCAGACCGCGCCGGAAACGGAGAGGCGTCGAAAGGAAGTCCCGCCCCCAGGCGTGACGCAAGCGCTGAGAGGCGTGGCCAGCGTCACGCCGCTTCCCTGGCGAGGGAAGGGCGGGGCCGTGGCTCACCCGCGCGGGTGGGGAATCTTCCTCCACGTTCTCTTCAGGTCCAGTTAGTAACAAATACCCGGTGGTAAACTTAATTTATTATCTCTCTTTAGGTGGCAGATCTGGGCCACCTTCCACAGTTCCACCTCTCAGCTGAGCTTAGCCAGAAGATACATATAGTACAAATATTGGAGTCCTGATTCAAGACCATGTCTACCGAGCGCCATAAATCTCTCTTCTACCCACTGCACTATTGCTCTAGCTCCTAATTTATGATGATGCTTCCTGTGTACACCTCCTTTTCATGGAGATCCACTCTTAACACCAGCCACAGGGAAGGCGGTTCTTATAAACACAGTTAATACGACTTTTCCAGGTACAGGAGGAGCAAACCGAGCCAAACTGGGTCTAGTCCCCACAAACAGGAAATAGGGTTAGGAGACCAAAGAGAAGTCAATAATCCTTAATCTGGAAGTAGAGCGGAAGAGGCTTTCTGTAAAAACTTCCTGGACTGGACGGAGCAATAGTTCAGTGCATAGGGTGTTTGCCTTGCACTAGGCCGACCGAGGTTGGATTCCTGGCATCCCCAAGCACCACCAAGAGTGATCCCTTGTAGTGCAGAGCCAGGAGTAACTCCTGAGCATCGCCAGGTGTGGCACCCAAAGAAACAAAATGACCTGGAGGTAGAAAGCTAGAAGGCAAATTCAGAAAGAAGCACCCAGAACAAGCTGCTTCCAGTCTTTTCACACTTCAGTGGAGGATAAAGTCACACAGCACTGTCCAGTTTGATCCATACTAAGGACCCCCAAAGATGTCATTCCGGCTCTGAAGGGCTTTCCCAGGCATGGTTGGAAGCCCTCACAAAAGCCATGTCTGGCCGAAACTTCATGCTAGTGGGTGGCTGGCGACGGAGCAGCGACTCCCCTTGGTCCTGGGGCAAGGGTTCATCATAGATGGTGGAGATGAGCCCCAACCCTGTTCCACGGGACTTCTTCAGTTGCCCAAATGGCTGCAGTTTCTCTCCATGATACCTGTATTTAAAAAAAAAAAAAAGGTGGCAAGTTTCGGTGGAGGCAGAGAAATGATAGAACAAATTTAAGGTGCTTGCATACATGGTTTGATCCCTGACACTGCATATTGTTCCCTGAGCACCACCAAGAGTGATCTTTAAATACAGAATCAGGAACAAGCCCTGAGCACCTCTGGGTATAGAGCCCTCCTCCCACCAAGAAAAAGAAAAAAGGATAAAAGAAGAAAGGGCTCTCAGTGAGAAGGCTTCTATAACTCAGTGAAGCCACTGAGAAAACAGGAAAGAAGCTAATACATATCTGGTTTGTCCCAAAATAAAAACTTTTAAATTTGGATATTACTCTCCAGCCCCTTATTCTTCCACTGATGGTGTCAACATGCTATTTTCATTATTTTTTTTGATTGAGGAGCTCTGATTTATGATACCGTTTTTTTAATTTTGCTCCTGGCTCTATGCTCAGGAATCACTCCTGGTGGGGAGTGGGGGATTCTAGGAATTGAACCCGTGTCAGCCACATGCAAGGAAAGTGCCCTACCCACTGCACTATTGCTCTGACCCCTAATTTATGATATTGTTAGTTAATGGTGTTTCCTGGGTATATAATTCTAACATCACATCATCACCAGTGTACCCACCTCTGACTGCTTTTAAACAGGGCAGAGAGTAAAAGTGGCACCACTGTTAGAGAGACTTCTTAACAGCAACAAGTCTAAACCCCTCAAATCTGCTGGGTTTTCCTACTTTTTTTGGGGGGTGGGGAGGTCAAACCAAACAATTCTCAGGGGTTATTCCTGGCTCTGCACTCGGGAATTACTCCTGGTGGCGCTTGGGGAAATCATATGGGATGCCAGGAATCAAACCCAGGCTGGCTGCATGCAACTACCTGCTGTACTATCTCTCCGGAAATTAGGGGAATGACAGTTCCAGATCAACGATGGGATCAAGGATTAAGGATTTTAAATGTGACAAAAAGATAGGGCTGGAGCGATGGCACAGTGGGTAAGGCATTTGCCTTGCACGCATGCGGCCGACCCGGGTTTGATTCCCAGCATCCCATATGGTTCCCCGAGCTGCCAGGAGTAATACCTGAACACATGAACCAGGAGTAACCCCTGTGCATCGCCAGGTATGACCCAAAAAGCAAATAATAAATAAATGTGACAAAAAATATGTGCTTGATCTTCTTCCTTCTCTGTTGGAGTCCATCCCTAAGCTTCTCTGGCAATAATGTTGACACCACAAGAAAATCCCAGTACAGCTGAAAGGCTAGTGTGGTCCACTCGGGGAGGTTCCTCAGCCACTCACCCCAATCCACGTTTGCATCTGGGGTGCTGGCCATCACTATCCAGGGCCTCGGGCACCCCTGAGCACTGGCTGCCCAAGCCTTGGCCTTCTTCCCAGCCCTGGCGCTCCATCACTCTCCGTCCGATGCCCTGTGGAGAAAAGAGAAAACTTGAGATGGCGCTCTAGGGAGGCAAACAAGGGAGAAGTGGGTGGCCAGGGCACAGTGCTTACCTTTGTGTGGCGCTCAAAGGTTCCCACCTGGCGCTTCACCAAGGAGCCATCCTCCTGGCCGTCCCGGAGTCTCCGCTCCAGGCGCATGCGGACAGAGTCCCGGGCATCCTTGTCTCCCCCATCTGAGGAAACAGCACAGCTGGTGTTAGCTCTCTTCCAACAGGAGGTGAAATCAGGTCTCTCAGACCTCAGAAGACTGACTTCTTCCTCTCTGGTGTTCTGATTCTCTCTCTCCAAGATGAAGCTCACCAAGAGTATGAACCTCAATTCTTCCATCTCACAGATAAGGAAAGTTGGGTGCACAAAAGTCCCAGAGCCAACAAACAAGAGAGAATCAATACAGGTCTCCCCTGCCCTCACCTTCTCTGGGCAGGTCATTTGTTAATCTGCCTGTGCCAGCCCCTCTCCCTCTGCAGAGCCAGTCCACCGTGACTATAGACCCTGAGGGTTGTCTGTGCTGAGCTTCTTCCTACATACAAAGGAAGAGGCTTTGCTACCACTGGCTTGGGGTAGTACATGCAAACACAGACTCTTCATGGGAGGAACCCCCTCCTTGGGCCACCCAAGGAAATTGGTCACCCGCCTCAGTCTCTGCTAAGTGAGTCTGGTAATGTCACTGCAGGACCAGCAGACACACCCAGCACCACCTCTGGCAAGTACCTTGGTCATAGTATACACTCATGTCCACATCCCAGTCATCGGCCGTCTGCTCATCGAAGTCTGTGGGAGAGAAAACCATCAGGCAGAGGGAGCTAAGATTCTCAGTTCGGTTCGAAGCAAACCTGGGGGGTGGGGGTGGGGAGGGAATATGAGAACACTGGTAGAGGAAGTTGACACCGATTGTGAGATTAGTGTTGAAATATTAAAAAACACTGTCACTGTCCTCCCGTTGATCATCGATTTGCTCGAGCGGGCCCAGTGACGTCTCCATTTTTTGAGACTTGTTGTTACTGTGTTTGGCATACCAAATACATCACAGGTAGCTTGCCAGGTTTTGCCGTGCGGGCGAGATACTCTCAGTAGCTTGCCGGGCTCTCCAAGAGGGGCGGAGGAATCGAACCCGGCTTGGCTGGGCTGGCTGCACGCAAGGCAAACACCCTACCACTGTGCTATCGCTCCAGCCTGTTGAAATATTATATCTGTAAAAGTCAACTATCAGTGGGACTGGAGCAATAGCACAGCGGGTAAGGTGTTTGCCTTGCACGCGGCCGACCCGGGTTCGATTCCCAGCATCCCATATGGCCCCCTGAGCACCGCCAGAAGTGATTCCTGAGTGCAAAGCCAGGAGTAACCCCTGAGCAGATGTGACCCAAAAAGAAAAAAAAAATCAACTATCAGTAACTTTGTAACTCACAGTTCTTTAGTAAAAATTTATTTTTTAAAAGAGTCAAACTTCAAGTTAGGCATATATTCTAGAACTCAGGGCTTCTAATTGCATTTTGGATTTTTTTTGGGGTCCCCAATGGTAGTACTCAGCTTATGCCTGAAAAAAGCTAAGAGATAAAAAACAGAAAAAAAAAAAAGCACAGCAGGTAGAGTTTTTGCCTTGTATGTAGCTGACCCGGGTTTGATCCCCGGCATCCCATATAGTCCCGAGTTCTGCCAGGAGTAATTCCTGAGTGCAGAGCCAGGAGAACACCTGAGCATCACCAGGTGTGACTTAAAAAGCCAAAAAAAATAAAAATATATATATTAGAGTTTACTCCTGGAGATACCCAGGGCAGGGGAAAATATGTGGTGCCTGGGACTGAACCATTATTAGTGGAACATAGGCAAAAGGCAAGTGCCCTGCTCACTGTACTAGCTCTCCAGCCCTGATTGTATTTTCAAATCTCTCCTGTAGGAGACATTCAGAACTTGAGGGTTGGGACACATTTTCTCTTCACCCCTATTTTAGGGGTGTTGCCAAAGCGAGCACTTCTCTCCTCCCCTAAAAAGGATTCCTGGTCATGCCCTTATTTGGTGGCCAATGGACCCCCCCAAGCACCGGTATGTGCTGTCCCGCCCCCTTTACCCCACAGAAAACAATAAAGAGTCGCCTCGTCTGCCACATGCCAACAACGGAAGCTTCGCCTAGTCCTTAGGCGCACTGTCTAGAAAAGCACTGTTTGGGCTAGAGACCCCCCAGAGCAGACCGCCAGCATCACAGCTGCCCCCGAAGGACCCCAGCATTACCTCCTTCTTCCTCCTGCCAGAACTGGGCATCCGTGTAGAAAACCAGGCCGGAGCCACCCTTCTCCCACTTGAGCTCGATCTCCTCCTCAAAGAGCCGCTCGGTGGTGCGCTCCTGCCTGGTAACATCCTCATGCAGCGCTTCATGCCGCTCCCACTCCTCACCCCGGTCATCGTCCTGGGCGAGAGAAGAAGCGACTGTCCACCAGCCTCTTGGCTTGCCAGTCCCTAGGCGGGCAGCACCAGGCACACAGGCCTGTAACAATGGCCCCATGTGGGCCCCTTGTCTTAGAACCCACGTATATTTGGCCCTTGACCCACACATCTCCCTCATTGCTGTCACCTCAACAGATGAGTGCCCTAAGGTCTGACCAGCGTGCTTTCGGTCACATTGTCCTAGCTGAAACACCCTCACTCCTGCCACCTCCCTTCCTCACCTGATTAAATCCTCCTCCTCCTCCCTCAACCCCTACAGGCTCCATGGAGGAGGCCCTCAGCACTCTCCCTGTTCTCAGCTTGTCAGGGCTTAGCAGGACACACTATGCTAAGGCCTTTATACATTATGTCACAAGGAATAAGAACACTTGTCTGCCACGTCAACTCTTCACGCGTGTTAGTGTCCTTTCCCCTGCCAACAACTTTATAAGGTTAAGTACTATTCTTCCCAGTCTACAGATCAGGGAATCTGGGTTCAGCAGAGGACAGTGACTTGCTCCAGACAAGGTCCTAAGAGTGTCACAGCCCTTTGCAAATCCATCAAACACCACGCAGTCCCTCCAGACTAACATCTCTGAAGATCTTAGTCTCTCTGAGGGCACAGGCTGGGTCTCAGAATGACTTTGGGAACCTCTTCTAGAGGCTCCTGGGATTTCAAGCCAGTCATAGTCATACCTATGACTATGTCTGTATGTCCTAGTCATACACCAGGAAGCCTCTGGAATTACTGCCAGAGCAGCAGGGCCAGGGCGACTCATGGTAACTCACGTCATCTGAGTGCGACTCTTCTTCCTCTTCCTTCTCCCCTTCCTCCTCGGGCTCTCCACAGGAGCTGGCTGGTGTGCCTTCCAGGCAGGTTCCCTGAGGTATTTCAGCCCCCTCGGCCGTATACACATGTTCTTCCTGTTCTACCATTTCAGAGTCCTCGTACCTGAATGGTACGTTGCCATAGCGCCGGGAAGAACCTGTCTTTGGGAACTGAAGCTGCAGCTGGGTGATGATCCGAGGAGGTAGGCGGCAGGACCGGATCAACTCCAAAAAGATCCGAAGTGGAGTGCCCACATTTCCGTTGGGCATGAGCACCGGGGGGTTCAATTCTGGCAGCTGTCTCAGGTCGGCCAGAGTGAAGGATTCGCTCCTGGCCTTCCGACTCTGCAGCTCCTTCCGCGTCTGGAAGGGAAAGGAGCCCAAACCTTGGAAGGGAGAGAGAATCGTTCTTGAAGTTAAGAAGCCTTCCAGTACATTTGGGAGAGCAGTGCGTCAAGGTTTAAACACCTGAATCTGAAATTTTACTCCATGGCTTGGAGGCCAACCACACATGCTAGGGGAAAAGGGAGCTCAGATAGAGAAGGGAACACCAAATAAAGGGTGTTGGGAGCATCCTCCCAGGATGGGAGAAGCATGCTGGAAGTAGACTATAGACCAAACATGATTGTCACCCATTGCCTCTTTTGCAAACCACAACACCCAATAAGAGAGAGAGAACAAAAGGAAATTCCCTGCCACAGAGGCAGGGTGGGATGGGGGGCTGGGGGGTGGGAGGGATACTGGGATCCATGGTGGTGGGAAATGGGCACTGGTGGAGGGATGGGTATTTGATCATTGTATAATTGAAACCCAAGCACAAAACTTTGTTAAGTCTACAACTGTACCTCATGATGTCTCACTAATAAAAATTTTTTAAAAATAAAAATAAACACCTGAATCTAACTCTGCTCCTCCTTTTCAAACCTCTCTGGAGTATGGAAACTTTCCTCCAGTCCATCAGATCCATCTAGAAATCTCATTCTCTCTCATCACCTTAGTCAAGCACATGTTTCTTCCAGGTATGTTTCCTTCTCGTTTTCTTCTCTAAGCTTGTGGGCCACACTCTGAGGTACTGGGGTGGGGAACTACTCCTGGCTTTGTGCTTGAGGGTTGCTCCCATTTGTGTTTGGAGGACCATGTAGTGTTAAGGATTTAATTTAGGGCTCTAGTGTGCACAAAATATGCACTGCGATCTGTTATCTTTACAGGCTTAGAATAGTGCCTAGTACACATACAAAAAGTGCTCAGTGTTAACAACTAGAATGGCAGGGGCTGGAGAGATACTACACGGGCAGGGTGCTTGCTTTGCAATGCAGCTGACCCTGAATCGATCCTGGCACTGATCACCCAAGCTCCGTTTGTAGTGATCCCTGTGTGCAGTCAGAAGTAGGCCCTCCGCACCACTCAGGGGTAGCCCCAAGAATCAAGAATCTGGTTTTCCCATTTCATTCTGTTTCAGTGCAACCTGGCACACAAAGGACTCTAAGGGGAGACCAAATGGGAAATGGAAGCCCATCCCAATATGCTTCCCACACCCCCCGCATTAAATAAACGTGAAAGTGGAAACTAAAACTTTGTCTACAGGCGTCTTCAGAGATCTAATGCATTTTCACCCCACCCCGCACGCCCCAGACAGGTGCCTCAGTGATAGGGCCCAGTCTACTGTCTCTCCCACTCATACCTGATGCGTCAGTCGGAAGCCTAAGTCTGCGGATGAAACAGCGACCCGGCAACCAAGTCCCCTGAGGATCCAGCCACTGGCGGCCCGAATACATGCGAAGAAACCTCTGGGCTTGAGCCACCCCCCGTATCGAGATGACGCAGCAACAGGTGCGGGTCTGGGAGCGGGCAGAGTCCCCAGTGGACAGAGCGCGGGCATCTGTGACCGAAGGCGGGGTGAGAACCTGGTCGACCGCGGCAAGGGAAGGGTCGGAAGCAGCCTGCGGCGGGGCGCGCTCAGGCCGATGCCGGTAGTGGAAACAGAGGAAACCACAGTCGCGCTGCTCCCGAAACTGGCTAAAGTAGCTTCGTAGCTGGGCCGACCTCAACCTGGAGGGAATACCGCTCACTATTAAGTAAACTACTGCTTCCTCCTCCGCCTCGCCGGGCAGCGCCATCTTGGACGATCACGTGATCGGCTGTAAGCAACGCTCGCGAGAATCTCGTAAACGGTTCTCGGGAGTCCGCGTTGCTAGGATCCCAGGATTTATCCTCCCATTTTGTGGATCCTGAGTGTGGAGAGTCCGGGAAAGGTGGTTGGACGTCTCCGTTCCCCACAAAGGGAGGTTGCTGACGACGGGGAAATTCGCCTGAGAAATGGGTTACAGAGCTCATTCGTACGCTTCTAGTTAGTACCAAATTAGAAGCCAGTGAGGGGCATTTTTTGGTTTCGTTTTGTGGCCACACCCGGTGGTGCTGCGGTGGCGGGGAATTTCTCCAAGCTCAGTACTCTGAGGTGACTCCGGGAGGTTCTTGGAAGTCCATGTTGTGCAGGTTTCCGTACAGAGCTCGTGCTTCAGCTCGTCGACCTAGCTACTTGATCAGGACGGGCAATTGTTTTGTTTGTGGGTCACTCCTGGCTGTGCTCAGACTTTACTTCTGGCTCTGCGCTCAGGGATCACTCCTGGCGGTGCTTAAGGGACCGTGTGGATTGCCGGGGATTGAACCCGTTTTGCCTGCCTGCCCGGCCTTATTCTCTCTAATATCGCTCTGGCCCCATTTCGGGCAATGTTTAAAATCTCTTCAATCTCAATCCTTAGTTCAGAGCCTTTTCAGTCATTAATCCAGTCTTCTGAAATGCGTTGGCGAACTCCCACAAATCAGTTAAGAACAACAATTGGGAAAACTGACCTAAGACACAGACAGGAAAGAAACAGTGCAAGATGCTCTGTCTCATTAAGCAGGGGAATGCCAGGAGACCACAGCATATCTACTATATTAACAAGAAGCTCTTTTAAGTCCTCTGGTGACAATGCAGAGCAACCACCATTCCCGTATACTGGTGGTGGACATGTAAGCTGATGACAACTCCAATTTGATGTTATCTAGTAAAAGTGAAGCTACGCGTATATTATTTGAGTCCAGCATTTTAAGGAAATTCCTTCACATTTGTATCAGAATTGACAATGTTGAACTGGGTAAGAAAGCTCTCCATCCTTTTGTGTTCTGGAACACAGTTAATTGCAAAGAAACACCACTCCCTCCATGACTTAGGGGCGGGGAGCACATGCTTTGCAAACTAGGACCCTGGATTGAATCTCTCTCACCATAAGGACCCTGAGTATTAGGAGTACTCCCTCAATGCTTCAGGGTGTGATCCAAAAATTAAAAAATAAATTTATGACTTAGAGAAAACTCATGGATGCCCCCTTGTTTAACCATCACAGGCTAGACACAGACTCTCCAAAATTTAATCTTTGCCTAGATGAACAAATGCTTAGATGAACTGCTTGACCATAATGCTCTGAACAGTTTGTTTGGTCACACCCAGTTGTACACAGAATGCATCCCTAACTGTGCCGAGGACCACTCCTGCTGATGCTTGGGGAAGCATATGCAGTGCTGGGAATTGAATTGAGGTTGGTAAACGCCAGGCAAGTGCTTTAACCCCTGTACTGTCTCTCCAGTTCAGAATAAAATGTTTCCTAACCAAACACTGGTTGAACTCCTCTCCTTACGAGGTTCCCAAAGTTCCTAAGTTGCATCCCCTTCCCCAATACATAGAACAAGCAGCAGACTATGCCTGTTTAGCAGCTGAGAAAACGTTCTCTGATCTATTATCCCATCATGGTCATCCCACATTACCACACTCAGTTCTTACTAGTCTTGTTCTCTCCTCCCTGTGAGAGAAAATCTGTAAACTTTAAGACACTTGCAGCTTTTTTTGTTTGCTTGTTTTTTGTTTTTGGACCATACCCTGGTCATACCCTGGGCACTCAAAGGTTAATCCTGTCTGCACTTAGGAACTGTTGGTCGCAGATATTTTTTGTTTGTTTAGGGGACCATACCCTGTAATGGTCGGGTTACTCGGGGCCATGCACTCAGGAATTACTCCTGGTGGTGTTCAGAAGATCATAGGGAATGCTGGGGATGGAACCTGGGTCATCTGCATGCAAGGCCAGTGTCCTACCTGCTATACCATTGCTCCAGCCCCACCCCCCCATACTTCCAGATCCAGGGCTGGAGCGATAGCACAGTGGGTAAGGCGGTTGCCTTGCACGCAGCCAACATGGCCGACCTAAGTTCGATTCCTCTTCCCTTCTCAGAGAGCCTGGCAAACTACCGAGAGTATCTCACCCACACGGCAAAGCCTGGCAAGCTACCCGTGATGTATTCGATATGCCAAACACAGTAACAATTAAGTCTCACAATGGAGACGTTACTGGACCCGCTCCAGATCTTATGTTACTGCATTTTGCTTCTCCCAATTGCCATGGTTCCTTTCCTCCTTGAATAATCATTTCAGGGGCTGGAGTGATAGCACAGTGGGTAGGGTGTTTGCCTTGCACGCAGCCAACCCGGGTTCAATTCCCAGCATCCCATAAGATCCCCTGAGCACTGGCAGGGGTAATTCCTGAGTGCAGAGCTAGGAGTAACCCTTGTGCATGACCTTGTGTATGACCCCCCCCCAAAAAAAGCAAAAAAATTAATAATTTCAAATAATAAATATAAGAAGAAAAATAAATAAAATTATGAAAAAAAAGTAAGGTGGAGTTCATGCCCAATTCAATCAGCTAATCAGTGGCTGAATAAATAGCAGTACTCCTACATTTAAAAAAATTGTTTTTTGAATTACACCTGGCAGTGGTGAGGGTTTTATTTAATATTTAATCTATTTTTGTTTGGGGGTCATACCTGCAAGTACTGGGAGCTTCTCCTAACAAGGAGTTGGGGGTTACTCCTGGTGGTGTTCAGGGGATCATGTGATACCACTGCTCAGGATGGGGATCAAACTTGGGGACTTTTGCATGCAGAACATGTGCTACAGCCCTTTGAGCCATCTCCCCCGCCCCATAACTAACTTTTCACCCAACATCATATACTCGAGGATGGGGTAGACAGTATTAATGTTACTGTAAATATTTGGGAGCTAAAGCAATAGTACAGTAGGTAGGGGATTTTCCTTGCACGCTGCTAAACCAAGTTTGATCCTATACATATGGTTCCCTGAGCCCCATCAAAAGTGATCTCTGAGCATTGCTGAATATGGTCAAAAACCAAATAATATTAATAAAACCTAAAGAAAAGTAGAAGAGCCGAGATGTGAAGGGTTCAACAGGCTGAGTGTGTGCTTTGCATGTGGGAGGTCCAGCTTCCCAGCACCACGTGTTTCCCTGGAAGTACCACCAGGAGCAACCCTGGAGTATTGAGTAGAGTGGTTCCTGAGCACCTCTGAGAATGACCCTTGAGCACCACCAGGTATGGTCCAAAAAACAAACAAACCTCCCCATCTATATGGATGAACAAAAAAATAAAAGTAGTTCTAATGAACTGTAATTGTAGCGATAGTGATGTATCTGAATTTTATGTATTTGGGGGAGATGTTGGGCTGCACCTAGTGAAGCTGTGATGCTTGAGATCAAACTGAGGGTGGTGGCAGGCAACTGGATGCCTCTATATCTGTACTCTTGGGTTCCAATCATTTTAACTTCTGTTATCTTGGGGTGGGAGGAGGAGGCATACCCAGCTATGCTCAGGGGTTACTCCTGGCTCTACACTCAGGAATCACTCCTAGCGGGACTCCAGAAACCATATTAGATACCAGGGATCAAACCCAGGTCAGCTGCGAGCAAGGCAAACACCTAACCCACTGTACTATCGCTCTGGCTACTCTTCTGTTTTCTTAAACCAAAGTCACTGAATCATTGAAGATGATGTCTCTGAAGTCAGTATCGTCGACTATTCTTCCCATGTTTCCTCAGTACAACTTATGGCTTTGGGTCTAGTGTCAAAGTGTGCTCAGGGCTTACTCCTGACTGCATTCAGGAGGAACTCCTTGAGGTGCTCGGAGGACCATACGGGATGCCGGGTATGAACCCATGCAAGGCAAGTGCCATACCCTCTATACTATGTCTCCAGCCCCTAGCATCAAGGTTTTAAAATATATTTTTGGTGATTTTGTTTGGTTATAATCCCAGTACATATTAACTTTGTCACCTTAGTAAAGTAAAGTAAAGGCCCTCCCGTTGATCATCAATTTGCTCGAGTGGGCCCAGTAACATCTCCATTGGAGACTTTGTTGTTACTGTGTCTGGCATATCCAGTAGCTTGCCGGGCTCTCCGAGAGGGGCGGAGGAATCGAACTCGGGTCGGCCATGTTGGCTGCATGCAAGGCAAATGCCCTACCCGCTGTGCTATCGCTCCAGCCCTTTGTCACCTTAAGCACATTATTTCTCTGTAGCACCTTGGTTCTTCCTTCCAGCTAGGGCTGAGAGAGTAAAGCAATAAGATGTGTGGGATGTGTCAGAGTACGACTGGAATGGGTGTTTTTGTTTGTTTGTTTTGGGGGCCACACTGGCAGTGCTTTCTCCTGTCTCTGAACTCAAGGATCACTCTTGGTAATGCTTAGGGTTCCATAATGGGTACTGGGGATAAAACCTGGTTTGGCCATTGTGCAAGGCAAGCACCTCTTACCTGTTCTATTCTCTCTGTTCCCCCTGCTGATTATTGTTTAGTGGCTGATAGGAAAATCTGCCAGGAATCAGAGGTCCCTTTATAATCCTAATTCCCGGGACTTTATCACTTATTCCTCAGACCTTATCGCTCCCTCCAGTTGCATTGCTGGTGACTTCCTCAGTTGCTGTTCTGAGTCTGTCTGCTCTTCAGGTCCATCTCTCACTGCCCTGGAACCCATAGACCATTGCAGTGAGCTGAGCATTCTGGCCCTCCACTCCTCTGTGCCTTCCTTTTCCTCTGTGTGTCCTCCCCTGGCTTACCTGACAAACCCTGCTCTCCAAGCAGCCCCCACATGGGTGGAGTATTTTCCCACCTCCAGGCAGATTTAATTCCATTCTCTTACTTGTCATGTGTATCAGTGTGGATCACTCAACTCCAGTTTTGTTTTTGTTGTTTTGTTGTTGTTGTTTGATTTTGGGGTCACATCTGGCGATGCACACGGGTTGTTACTCCTAGCTCTGAACTCAGGAATTACTCCTGGCAGTGCTCTGGGGACCATATGGGATGCTGGGAATCGAACATGCAAGGCAAATGACCTACCGGCTGTCACTCCAACCCCTAATCAGAGGTTTAATGAAGGCAGGGCTGTTGCTTGCTTCTCTCATTTACTCTGTGCACCATCTCTTTGTACAAGGTCTTGTACAAGTGGAAATCAAGGGACCAGGAATGTGACTCAAATGGTAGAGCAGGGGCTTAAACCATAGCATAGCAGGTAGGGCATTTGCCTTGCACATTTACCTTGCCATCTCTGGGTTCGATCCCTGATGTCCTATAATGTCTGGTTCCCTCTGCACAGCCAGGAGTAACACCTGAGTATTTCCAGGTATGTCTCCCGCCCCCCCAAAAAAAGAAAGAACAGAGATTTGTATGAGACCCTGATTTCAAGCCCTGGCACTATGTGACCCACTGAGCACTTCCAGGTGCTGGCCCTGTCAGCACCACAGGGGGTGTCCCCACCCCCCCAAAAAAGAGAATATGGATGAATGAACAGTGGGTATTGGCTTTTGGCAGACATCATGGATTCTAGGCTCTGTGATGCCCCAGGGCAGGGTTTGCCAGCCCAGCCACTGGCTCACGTCAGCATCAGCGCCTGGCTGCTTAATAAGCAGTCAATGAATTGGCTAATGGGAGTGGAGATAATGATGACCATAAAATTTTACCTGAGGCTGGCCCATATCCACAGCCTCTCAGCTGCATTCCTGAGTCATCCCTGGCTGGTCAGAGGACTGGGTCAGGACTGCGGTGATAGAGATGTATCCGTGACAGAGTTGGCACCAAACAGCTTGATCCTGGCCATGATCCAGACTGTGACAAAAGTCCTGCCTCCAGAATCACACAGGCCTGAGTTCAAGTCCCAGCAATCAGCCTGGAGCTTGTGTATGCAGTGGACCCTGCTTGAGCCGGTTCCCTCTCCTCCCTCCACAGTGGAGACATGTTTCTTCCCCTGGGAAAAAACTGCATCTCCTGGAGTACATATCATGCTCTCATAATAGGCTCTGGAATCTTACTCATATTTTGCTGTTTGTATTTATGTTCGTTGCAGAAAGCTTAGAGGCAGGGCATGGGAGAAGCAGGAGTCTAATTCCTAGCCTCATGAAAGAGTAGGAAAAGAGACAGGCAGAGAAGCAGGGCAGGGCTAGTAAGGAAAACGCATGGGGTGACAGGACACTAAGTTACAGGGCAAGGCTGGGAAGGGAGGGAGAGGAGCTTCCTAAAGGCAGTTGTGGGTGGGGTGGGGAGAGGGACAAAGGTCAGGGACAGGAAGATAGTCGGGGATCAGAGAAATGCAACAGATTAAGGAGGCAGTGAGTGAAGGACATGAAAACAGGACTCCAAATCCGAATCAACTGGACCTGGTGCCTATGAGCAGATGATTATCTCCAGAGTGGTCTGTGTGGGGCCAGAGCAATAGTACAGCAGATACAGCCTTTGCCTTGCATACACTTGACCCAGGTTTAATCCTCAGCATGTCATATGGTCACTTGTTCACAACCAGGAGTAATTCCTGAGTGCAGAGCCAGGAGGAACCCCTGAGCATTGCCAGGTGGGGCCCAAAAACAAAATGAAAAGAAAAATAGAGTGGTCTGTGCTTCCCTCCAGTGAGAAGGGCTCTGGGTGCTGGAGACAGGCAGGGCAAGGCAGGGAAAGGATTCTGGGCGCAAGGGGAAGGGGGAAAAACTTCTATTTAGCGGTTTGACTTGGTTCTGATGGGGTGGGAAGTAATTGAGCAGGACCTGGGCTGAGTGAAAGAATGTTGGTTATTGGAGTTACCATGGGCAGAGGGGCTAATCAGTTGTGGCCCCAGCAGCCGAGCAGGACAATTTGATGTGAAATTGCAGGCTCTAGGTAGAGATTGAAGATGTAGGTTTGTCTCTTTGGGAGACATTTGAAGTTTTCCTGTGTCAGGCAGAGCTGGAGGGCATGCTGTGTTGTGAGAAAGTCACTTGTGTGTGGGGCTGTGGGTTCTGTGTCACTGGCCCTGGGTGCCTGTCTCATGGTGGGGGCTGGAGAGCAGGGTCCTGTATATGTCGCTGAGGGAGAGTCTGGACTAGGCATGCCAGGCACATGGATGGCCAGGTCATGGCGTTTGTGCTTCTGAGCTGTGTGGCCTGTAGTGTGAAAGGGACTGTAGGTCTGAGGTGTGCATACCCTGTCTCATTCTGGGTGCCCAGTGATGATGGGTGACTGGGGAATGGACAAGGGTGCCTTGCTACTGGCACTGGGTGGCCATCAGGGGCACTTGTTCGTTTAGCAGTGGTCCCTATCCTGAGGGACCTTAGGGAGACCCAAGTGATGACTTTCAGGCTATTGTCCCTGAGTGAATGACCTCTCCTGAGCAATAATTAACTTGGCCCCCGTGAGAAGAATCCAAACTGGTGAAGTGGGTGGGGCCTGGGTAGGCTGGCCTTATTGCTAGAGGTCAGTGGAAGCTGGGGAGGGGGTCCTATGGGCATGTGTGCTGTTATCATTCCCTCCTGCACACCCAGCGGTCAGTCACCCTGACCTGGGCGAGATTCAAGATGTTTAACAAATAGTAGGGCACAGACATTGACCAATGCAAACAAACACAAGCTGTTCCCTGGACGGCGCAGGCTGGAGCCAGGGATGACCCCGCATTGCCTCTCTAGCTGCAGGCTTTGGGGAGGGATTCCCAGAGAAGGGCTGGGACAGAGTGTGGTGGAAGGGAAAGACAGGAAGGGCACTGGTGATGACTCTGAACCAGCTTTTTTTTTTTTTTTTTTTTTTGCTCTTTGGGTCACACCCGGCGATGCACAGGGGTTACTCCTGGCTTGTGCACTCAGGAATTACTCCTGGCAGTGCTTGGGGGACCATATGGGATGCTGGGAATCGAACCTGGGTTGGCCATCTGCAAGGCAAATGTCCTACCTGCTGTGCTATCGCTCCAGCCCAGCATGAACCAGATTTCATGAAAGTCTTTAAACAGTCACATGGCAGCTAGACCTCAGCCTGTGATGGCTTCCAGGCAGCTGCCAGGCCATTCTGGGTGCCCTCGCCTCCCTCTTCAGTGGAGCACTGTCCCCTTCTCACCTGTTGGCTGCAGTCTAAGGCAGTGATTGACCGCCCAAGCCATGGAAAGCTCAGTGACCTTGTCTGGATTAAGGACTGCTTTGGTTCCTTGTTGACACTGTCCAGCTCTCCCTGAGGTGAGAGGGAAATCTGCAAGGGACAGGAGCCAAGAGGGCTCATTGGTGGTGGTGGTGGTGGTATTGGGGACATAGAAAGAAACCCGTTGGCCAAAGATAAAGGCAAGAAGGTGAGGGGCTCCTGGACAAGTCCTTTCCCTGGGTTCAGATCCACACAAAAAAAATCTCCCCAGAAATGAAGTCACCATCCCACTCTGAAAATTTAGTTTCTCATCTCCCTTAAGGTCAGCTCTGACTCATATGGTTCCTTCCTTTGAGCCTCCTCTGTTAGGGCAGAGAAGCTAGGAAGAAAGATAATCCCTTCCATGTACTGCCTACAGGGTCAGACCCCAAGAGTCACATCTTTTATTACAAAAACCAATCACGAGCTGGGAAGATGGCTCAAAGGGCTGGAGCACATGCTTTGCATGCACGAAGCTTGGATCAGTCCAAGCACCACATGATCCCCCAAACACTGCTGGAAGTGACCCCCAAACCCAGTACTGAAAGTAGCCCTTGTGCATCACCAGGTGTGACCACCAAACCAAACAAAATATAATAACTTAAGTCAGTTCTGTACAAAGTCAACAGGTACCAGGACCCAGTGAACAACTGTCCAGACTTTCCCTCCCAGTGTGGGGGAGGAGGCTGGGCCCTGGGAATGCTGGTGAGCACCGAGGTCCACCACACAGCTGGAGCACTGTCCACACTGAGGAGGCCAAGGTGGGGGAATCTGAGTGGAGGCCGTAGCCCATCTGACCTGTTGGTCAGGTGAGGGCACCCATTTGGCCAAGTGGAGAACTCACAGGCAGCTTGCCCCACCAGGGATAGTGGGCAGACTCAGCACTGCCAGCCGTCATTCAGCCAACACCTGGTCTCTGCTTGGGTGGCAGCAGGTCGGCTGAGCAGAAGCATGTCCTCAAGGAGGCCGACAATGTCAATGTCTCCAATGATAGGGCGGAAGAAGAGGTCCCCGAGCAGGCTGGGGGAGATGGACTTGAGGGTGGAGGCAGTGAGGAGCACACGGGCCAAGCGGCTTTGGCCTGCTGCGTGCTGGGTCTCCAGGACCTCACACAGTGCCTGGTGAGCCTCTTGCTGCAGGAGCCCGATGTGGGAGGAGGTGTGGAGACCTGGCAGGTCTGTGGGCAGAGAGGGGGAGACAACTCATGAGGACCATAGTTCCAGAAGCCACAGGGTTAAGCCCACCCCAGACCCGAGCCAGCTGTTTGTCTGGGGTGCCCTTTCCTGATGCCTCTCTTTGTTGGCTATTATTTAACTATTTGTGAGGGCTCAGAACAAGATCTGGCTAAGCAATCCCTGTGGATGGTCCTGCGGTTACTTAACATATGACTTTGGACAACTTTCCTAATCTCTGCTTCAGTCCCATCTGTATAATGGAAGTAAGATTCACCTCTCAGAAGAGACCACTTAAGAGCAACAGTATTTCAAGGCCTCAAGATAGTTCAAAGGGCAGGAGCACGTGGTTGGCAGCTGAAATCCCTGAGTTCAATTCCCAGCACAGCATTGTCCCCTAGTCACTGCTGGGAGTTCCCTCTCATAAAACTCTTAGATTGGGTAAGTAACCACAGGACCATAAGGTAAGCACAATACAAACGTTTGCTCTTCAAAATAATTGGTTGCTGTAATTCACACATGCCATGAGAGCCTTTTGGTGAAAAATTCTCTTAGCTGCCCTCCAGCTTACAGAGAGCACCATTCCCAGCTGCTTCTGGGAGAACTTCATGAGGGATCCTCATTCTTTGTGCCTCCCCCTTTTTGTTCTCTTCTAGGTGGTCTTTCTTCTTGTTGTTGTAGTTTGGGGCCACATCCAGTGGTGATCAGGGGTTCCTCCTGGCTCTGCACTCAGAAATCACTCCTGGCAGTACTCAGGGGACCATATGGGATTCCGGGGATAGAACCTGGGTCTGCTGAGTGCAAGGCAAATGCCCTACTTGTTGTACTATCTTTCCAGCCCCTAGGTGGTCTTACTGAACCCACAAATGACGGAAGGTACCCTAGCCATACTTGGGAGTCTCAGGACCATGTGATGCTAGGGAGAGCCTGCAGCGCCTATATACAAAGCATGTACTCCAGCCCTGGCCTTGACCCCACAGGTTTTCTCTGGAACTGAGGCACAGCTGTGTCTGCCAGCCCTCCCCTGCCCAACTCTGCTTGCAGAGTGGCAAGGGCCAGGATCTGGAGGGAGCAGACCAGAGTCCCCATCCAGGCTCTGCCTCTGCTTGGCTGTGTGACATTTGGTAAGTCACTTAGCCTCTCTGAGCCTCATGTTTTAGTGGGGAGGGGTAGGTCACGGCTTGTTACTCCTGGCTCTGTGTTCAGGGGTTGCTCCCATCAGGTTTGGGACCACATTGGGGGTAGAGACTGACTGAGGCAGGGCCAGTCCCTTCACTCTGTACTTTCTCTCCCTTGACCCTCTTGTGAGAGGACTCTTGGAAGCTAATGAGGACTCAGCACATCAAGCCTTTGAAGATGCTTTCTGGGTTGGGCCCTGCCCCCACAGCCCGGCCCTTTCCAGGGGTGTCTGGGAGCTCACCAGGGTTGAAGAGGATAGTCCCTTTCAGGTAGGCATACTCCTTGGGGCTCAGCTCCAGGCTCCAGAAGGCCTCCAAGCAGCTCTGAAGCCAGCGCACAGCAGCCAGCGAGGGCCGGGGCGGCTCGGGCAGCTGGCTGCAGGGCTCCTCCAGCAGGATCTTCTTGAGGATGCTGGGGACCGGGGCCTCAGCCACCTCGAAGGTCACGGTGTCTTGGGCCAACCCCAGCAGGAAGAGGGGGCCCCAGCAGCCCCACAGCAACCGCCGCCGGTCCTGAGGGGGCAGCTGGCAGAAGGACGGCAGGTTCCTGAGGAAGACCACTGTCTTACCCAGCACATCCAGAGCCTCCTGGCAGGTGCGGTGCGGCGTGCTCAGCCGCACAGGCCGGTGCTGCTGGCACAGACAGCGGCTCCGGGCTAGGGGGCTGGGGGGCCTGGTCCCGAGGCCGGGACTCAGCAGTGCATACAGAATGGCAGGGCGGCCTGTTGCGCCCTGACACAGGCAGGCCCCTGGCTGGCTTTTGCTCATGGTGGAGGAAAGGCTCCTCCTCGCTCCCTGCTCTCCCGCCGTCTGCTCCGCTGTGGGACTATTTATACTCCCATGCCGGGGAGGAGGCAACACCGGACAACCTTGACTCCAGGAGTCATGTTCATTGAAAAAACCAACACAGGCTCACGCTGGCAGCACTGGGAGGGGGTGTGTGGGGGGGTGGGGAGGTGTCTTGAAAGCTCCACGTGGCGCTGATAGGGCTTCAGTCAATGAAGCAGGCGTGCTTCCCGGCTGCCTGCCTGCTGGCCTGCTTGCCCCTTATCAGATGACTGGAGCGGATAAACAGGGTCATTAACCCAGGATGTACCAGGGCACCAAGGCCTCAGGTGCACAATCAGCAGGTGACTGTGGCAGGTGTCCCAATTGGTGCCTGCCCTTACATGAGCACAAGATCAGAACGCTCCCTCGCCAGAAGGCCAGCCCCCACCAGACTAGCCTTGAACACAAGGCCCAACCTGGAAGTGCCTTATCATCAGCTTGTTTGCCTGACCTTGGGGCTGCTCCTATAGTCGGCAAGGAACACGCTGCAGGGACTGGAGCCAGAAAGGTGGAAGGCTGGGGGTGCTGGGAGGATTTTGCTCATGGTACAGTCTAGGAGACCCTCTTGCTGACTTCAGTCCTGGGGAGCCCGCAGAATCTCTCCCAATTGGGGGTTTCTTGAGTCTCCAGCAGACCACAGCTGCTAAGAAACCCTTGCAATATGACAGTGGAATCTTCTGGATGGATTGCACACACTGTGCCTGGCACTTTCGACTCTGGTATTAGAATATGATTCAAATAGGTGAAGTGGCTTTTCCAAGACCACCCCACAAAGAACAGAGGCTGGATCTATCTGACTCCAAAATCCATCCTTGCTCCCAATTGTGAGGCCAGAGCTGGGTGGCTCAGGGTCCCCAAAGCTGGTAGAGACTTTAGCTTTACCTGATCTGCAGAAATGTTGCATAAATCCTGGGCATAAATATTGTTCTGCTACCTGTCACACAGCTCCTCTGTCCTTGGGCATCTTTCAAACGATGGGGTCCCAGGGAGATAACTCAATGGGCTGAAGCACATGCTTTACATGTGAGAGTCCTGAGTTTGATACCTGGCACCATGTAGTCCCCCAGCACTGCCAGGGGAATTTCCCCCTACCTCTAGTAGAACAAGGTGTGGCTCAAAAACTGAAAAGAAAAAAAAAAGAATTGCTGAGGGAAGTCACAACTATTGCAAACCAGAAGAAAGAAGAATACCCAATACTTTTCAACAATGCCTTGCCTGCTCGCTTCTTGAACATATAGATATTCTTTTACTTGAAACTGTCACAAACACAGAAAGGTTGCAAGGCAAGGGATTTTACTTGGAATCATTTGAGAGCAAGTTGTCAGTCTGATGCTCAATAAACCCCAAGTGTAGTTCTTTCAGAAAAGAACACACTCCTTCAGATCCACTGTTAGAACCGCCCAAAGTGGATGTCCATAAGGATCAGATACCACCTCATCTCACATTGAATGTCACCAGATGCTTCAAAGAAATGGTAGAATGGAGAGGCTCAATCCAGAACACAGAATGCTGCCTTCATTTTTTCATCAGGTCACTAACCTGCCAATTAGGAAAAGTCTCTCCTCTTTCCCTGACTTGCCATCTTTGGCAGAGTCCATACCCCCATTCCACTTCCTCATACTCAGAATGTGTGTATGTAGTATATACAGGTATGAGCTCATGGCCTCAGCCTCATGTTTTATTGAGTTGTTTCTAACCTGTGATGACCAGTATTTATTTTGATACTCCAACTATCAAAGATTTGGTCAATGGGAGCCCCTTGAAGTGGGATCTCTGATCTTCAAATACCCCCTTTCATTCTGATAAAACAAAGGATCACTTTATAAGCCCCTGATATCAATATTTATATACTTAAAAAAACTCTGATTAAGTCTTACGGTGTCGGATACCATCTGTATAGCACTCAAAGGAGGGAGGAGTTTATTTACTTTTGGGGCAATTTGAGCTACGCCTGGCAGTGCTCAGGGGCTACTATTGGTTATATGCTGGGATCATTTCTGGTGGTGCTAGGGCTAGCCGCCTGCAAGACACACACCTTCACCCAAGTACCAACTCTCCAGCACCAGGGGAGTTATTTTATTTTATTTTTGAGTGATGCTGAAATTTTTATTATTATTATTATTATTATTTTTAGTGAAACACCATGTGGTACAGTTGTTGACCTTACAAGTTTTGTATTTGGGTTTCAGTCATACAATGATCGAGTACCCATCCCTCCACCAGTGCCCATTCTCCACCACCAATGATCCCAGTAACCCTCCCACCCCTCCCATACCCCCATCCCATCCCGCCTCTGTGGCAGGGCATTCCCTTTTGTTCTTTCTCTCCTTTTGGTTGCTAAGGTGTGCAAAAGAGGCATTGAGTGGCAAACGTATTCAGTCTATAGTCTACTTTCAGCATGCATCTCCCATCCTGGGAGAATCCTCCCAACACCCTTTACTTGGTGTTCCCTTCTCTGTCTGAGCTGCCCTTTCCCGTAGTATGTGCAGCTGGCCTTCAAGCCATGGAGTAAACCTCCTGTAACTTTTCTCGACTATTCTATGATGTTGGTCTCCTCTTTTGTTACTTTATATTCCCCAGATGAATGCAAAGGGGAGTTATTTTAAAACAATGCTCCAGACTACTAGAATAATATTAGAAACTAAGGTGTGCTCATTGTCATTGCCCTGGTCCTACCAAGAGCTAAAGACCCACATACACACATTACACGTTTGTATTTATGTTTATACACACTAGAAATGTGATTTCAGGGGCCAGAGAGATAATACAGTGTGTTAGGCAAAGCTGGGTTCAATCCCTGGCACTCCATATGGTTCCCTGAGCCTGGCCAAGAGTGATCCCTGAACTTGCTTGTATCCTCTTATATACAGGCTTAAATGGCCCCAAAATGAAATACAAAAACCTTTACACACCTCCCTCTTATTGTGGTAGAACGATGCTCACTGAAAGGGACCCTCCTTCACTACTGGTGGGAATGCCGACGCCTCTTTTGCAGACCACAACACCCAAAAGGAGAGAGAGAACAAAAGGGAATTCCCTGCCACAGAGGCAGGGTGGGATGGGGGGAATGGGGGTGGGAGGGATATTATCCATGGTGGTGGAAAATGGGCACTGGTGGAGGGATGGGTATTTGATCATTGTATAATCAAAACCGACTGGTTCAGCCCTTCTGGAAAAGAGTATGGACGAATCTCAAAAAATTAGAAATCGAGCTCCCATTTGACCCAGCAATACCACTCCTGGGAATATATCCCGGAGAGGCAAAAAAGTATAGTCGAAGTGACATCTGCACTTGTTTGTTCATTGCAGCACTCTTTACAATAGCCAGAAGCTGGAAAAAACCTGAGTGCCCGAGAACAGATGACTGGTTAAAGAAACTTTGGTACATCTACATAATGGAGTTCTGTGTAGCTGTTAGAAAAGATGAAGTCATAAAATTTAAATACAAGTAGTACTACATGGAAAGTATCATGTTAAGCGAAATGAGTCAGAAAGAGAGGGATAGACATAGAAAGATGGCATTCATCTGGAGAACATAAAGTAACAAAATAGGAGACTAATACCCAAGAGTGGACAAGATTAGTACCAGGAGTTTTGCTCCATGGCTTGGAGGCCAGCCACACACTCTAGGGGAAAAGGGAGCTCAGATAGAGAAAGGAGCACCAAATAAAGAGTGTTTGGAGGATCCTCCTAGGATGGGAGAAGCATGCTGAAAGTAGACTATGGACCAAACATGATTGCCACTCAATGCCTCTTTTGCAAACCACAACACCCAAAAGGAGAGAGAGAACAAAAGGAAATACCCTGCCACAGAGGCAGGGTGGGATGGGGGGTGGGGGATGGGAGGAATACCAGGACCCGGTGTGGTGAAAAATGGGCACTGGTGGAGGGATGGGTGTTTGATCATTGTGTAATTGAAACCCAAGCACAAAAATTTGTAAATCTACAACTGTACCCTCATGGTGTTTCACGTAACAAAAATTTTTAAAAAAATGTAAATGATGGAGAATGGGCACTGGTGGAGGGATGGGTACTGGATCATTGTATAATTGAAACCCAAGGACAAAAATTTGTAAGTCTACAATTGTACCTCATGGTGTTGCACTAATAAAAATTTTTTAAAAATGTCAGGAACACTAAAAGAAAAAAAAAGAAAGATGCTGGTTGGGTGGGAGTTTGAAAGATGCTTGTTGGGTGTTTGAATATTATCTGTAATGAATTATTGTGAACTATATCACTGTATCACTGTCACCCCGTTCATTGATTTGCTCGAGCGGGCACCAGTGAACTACCTTATGAAAATAAAATGTATGAAAATCGCAAAAAAAAAAGTGATCCCTGAGCACAGAGTCAGAAGAAAGCCCTGAGAAGTTATCTTGCCCCTCAAAAAAATTAATTAAAAAAATGCAAGTTCAAGGGTCAGGGAGATAGTACAGGAGGTTAGGCACTTGCCTTTGCATCTAGCTGCAAAGGCCACAACCTTTATTCAAATTCCCAGCTCCAAAGCCAGGTGTGGCCCCAAACAAACACGCAAAATTATTTTTTAATTCATTAACTACTCTGCTGCCTCCTCTTTCTTTCTGTCCCTGAAAATGTCAGCTCTGAAACAACTCCAGAATGGGAAGGAACCCCTGGGGGTGGCTAGAGGGAGAACACGCTTCCTGTAGTGGCAGGGGCCCCAGACTCACCATATCTGAGCCCAAAGAAGGTGGAGAGAGAAACAAGAGCTATGAGGCTTGATCTACTAAGTAAATAATCATGTAAACCAAAGTACTCAGAATTGGCAGGGGATTGTATAAATAAATATAGCAAGAACTAGAATAAACCTTGCTATAGTAGATTAAAAGTGCAGTTAATGGTCTGAATTGACATTTTAAATTTAATTTACTTTTTAAAAAAAAACTTGGGGGCCCCCACCCTGCAGTGCTCAGTAACTATTCCTGTCTCTGTGCTTGAGAATGAGCTCAGGGGACCATACAGGATGCTGGG